ATGAGTCAGGCCAACGTGAGCCGCGCGAAGGCCGTGAAGGCCCTCAAGAACAACAACAACGACATCGTGAACGCCATTATGGAGCTGACGATGTAGTGGCGGGTGTGATATCGTTGGCCAACCCTTTTCCCCCTCTCTATCACCCGTCTCTTGACTACCTGTCCATACATTACAATGAATTTAGTGTGTATTTTGCTCTGATTTTTAATTAAACTCATTATAAACCGCATGATTAACAGCCGACCCGTCGGCTAACTGTTGTGTTAATTGACTGAGCGTTTAGTTTCAGCGCTATATTTGTAACGAAAATTGCAATGAGTTTTAATAAATTTTGTTTTTTAATGTAGTCTTTGATTGTATTTTTGTTATTTACAGATTATGTATAGTTTTAATTAAACAAATATTGGTTATAAATGTTAATAACAAAACCAATTTACACATTCATACACTAGTTTTTTGTACAGTAGTTGTCATTGATTTTTATCATTAATTTAATTGTTATAACTTGATATTTCTATACAATTTGTAAATTACAGTATAGTGTAGATGTAGTTATCATTAGATGGTATGTCCATGATTTCCCTCATGAGCGGCCCGACCTCTCTCGGGTCGCGTGATCTCTCGATTTTCAATTGAATTTCGCACAAAGTGTTTACATCGTGTAAAGTGTCTAATATTTGCTTAAATCTAGTGTTGGCCTCCGTTTCGGACCCGTATTTAATAGTCAAATAGCGTTTAAGTAAATACATATACAATCGCTGTTGAAGTCTATGAGACAATTAGTTAATTACAATTGACATTAATATTTATATTATTAATAAGTTATTTACTTTACTAAGTCTTTATACATGAGGTTTGGTCGCTCGGGATTGAAAAGTAGGATCGGTATTAACTGTAATTATATGTTTAGTTAAATAATTAATTGTTAGTTTTTACTAGTTAAGATTTACTACCAATTGAATTATATAATGATCGGTGTCCATGATGTTTTCAATATTATACAATAAGCGTTTGGCCACCGGATATGCGTTGCCTGGAATTTGTTTAAATACATCCACATTATGCACATATACTGTGCCGTCGTCCTGAAGGTATGATAATTGCAATACTATTCACAATCCCATAAATGAATAACCACTACAATCATTCATACCATGTTTATATTATACCAACATTGGTTACCATAATCATAGCGAAGGCCGAACTTATACAACATTAGCGCCTCACGGGATGCCGGCTTGAAGAGTGCCATTCGGTCGCTGTCGCAGACGCACCGGAATGTGTGCAAACTCTTGCACACGTTTACCATCGCTTTGAAGTCGCTCTCCATTCTCGGCACCACTGATTGTTTGACCTCTTCAAAAGTCTTGAGCTCATGGATGGCCACGGGATTCACATTCAGATCCAGTTGACTGATGGCTGACAATAGTTCGCTGAAGAATTGGTGTTCAGAAGCGTTGAAGTTATTGTTGATCACAAGTACGGGTCTGACCACTGGAATGAGTGCCGATTCATACCCAGAGTCGATACTATGTGTGCCATCACTTGAGTTACTCGTATCGGTCTCGAAGACATCGTGGTCTACACTCTGCGGACCAGTTGTCCAGTCATTGATTTTGGTATTCAAGACATTGTTTTCATCGGGCGATTCACTGGACACGCTTCTAGTCTCGAGTTTGTCTTTGCATTTGTCGGCATTTTTATTCCTCTTCAGTCGTTTGGCCTCTATTTTGAGACGCCTTTCCTCTCTTTGCTCGTCATTTAGTATCCAATCCTAGCGTTAAATATAATTAGTTTTAGTATTAATTTACACACAGATTAGTTAATCCCAAGAAACCTCTTTCATTCCCACAGCGAAACACTTTTCCAAACGACAGGTTCGGCAAAACTTTCGTGTATTTAAACCGATCTGACATTTCTTATTATAAAGACAGACGTATTTCTGTGTATATAATTAGTTATTAATATTAATTAGTTATTAATTATAATTGAAATTAATTTCGGACAAAATTACATCACGTTTTGCGGCGTTTCTCCTAAAGAAAGCCTTACAAGTTTCACACGAAACGGCGCCGAAATTTTTGCCTAAAATTACATTTTACAAATGTCATTAATGACCATGGTCACTTTAATTTGTAATAATAAATATTTCATATTTGTTCAACATTTAGAACTTTATAATTATTGTTATTTTCTTGTATTGTATTATTACGGATACAAGTATTGCTATTTATATCAATTTCAATAATTAATTATATCCTTATTTATAATTTATAACTTTTAGTAAATTGTATTTTATAGAAAATTACTGCCAATAATTTAACATTAAAATTAAAAATATTATTTTGATCTTAAAATTTGGTAATGATAATTTTACGACAGCAAGAAAATATAATTAATAAATAAAAACAGTTGAGTAAATATAGATTAAATATCAACACATAAATAACTTAAAGTGGAAAACAAAATAACATGATTCAATGTTTTAAAATAATGTCTAAATTTATAACTAAATCACTTTTAACTGAATTACATACCAATGGCTCCGTCGCCGCAAATCAGACATATTTTGTCTTTACTTAAAGGTTTTTTAGCAAACATTATATTATAATAATTTAAACCAATATATAATGAACATGGTCATTTCATGATTAACAATTTAATAGATACAATGATGAAAATTACAATGTAATAAAATATTATTGTTGTTAACTTAATGTACAAATGTACAATGTAATTAAACTATGCAATTTCATTGCTATGGGAGCAAAAATCTCTTCAATCAAGGTTATTTACAGTGTACATTAAAATCTATAGATTTTTTTTATTCAATTGTTTGCACAATGTAATTAATATATTTATAAATTATACATAATGATTATTAAATATTTAATTTTATAACAGACATAAAACATTACAATTATTGAATGTCAATTAGTACTAAATTATTTTATATGAATATTATTACATTGTAAACTAGTATTACACAACATCGATTTTTAATTACCAAAGCTAACCTATTAGTGCAAGTTTTCATCATAGTTAACAATTTCGAAAAACAGGTTTAAAACATAATTATAACATGCTTAATGTTATGCTTAATGAACTCTCTCTCTCTCTCAAAACAATTAAAAAATGAATAGTTGATAAAATTGGCATTTGAATATAAAATTTAAAGATTGTACTTGATTATGTGCAAACAATTAATTTAAATTTAGTAATTGTTATGATTGGATGGCATATCAAAGTACTCCCTGAGTAGAGGTCCCGCATATTTTGGATTCTCTTTCTTTCGGTACTCGACTTGAAATGCAAACAATTTGTTTAAATCTTGTAATGAATTCAATATCAGCGCAAAGTGTTGCCAGAAGCTCCCGGAATAGTTTTTTGTACAGTATTTGTAATTAATTTAATTGTTATAATTTGATATTTCTGTACAATTTGTAAATTACAGTATAGTGTATATGTAGTTATCATGAGATGGTATGTCCATGACTTCCCTCATGAGCGGCCCGACCTCTCTCGGGTCGCGTGATCTCTCGATTTTCAATTGAATTTCGCACAAAGTGTTTACATCGTGTAAAGTGTCTAATATTTGCTTAAATCTAGTGTTGGCCTCCGTTTCGGACCCGTATTTAATAGTCAAATAGCGTTTAAGTAAATACATATACAATCGCTGTTGAAGTCTATGAGACAATTAG